AGTAGGAAATTCTATAGAAGAGACAACTGCCAATCTTCAATATGCAATAAACGCCATAGACGCTTGGACCGCACAGTGGCGTATTAAATTAAATGGAAAAAAGTCTGTTCACATCAATTTTACAAATAGAAAAATAAATCGTCTTGCGGTGAAGTTAAATAACAATATAATTCCTCACAAAGAAACTACTAAATATTTAGGACTTAACCTGGATGCCAAGCGTAGTTGGAAAGTTCACGCTAAAAGAAAGACTGAACAATTAAAACTCAAATACAAAAGCATGTATTGGCTGCTGGGAAGAGGTTCGCAGCTTTCCAGTAAAAACAAACTACTGGTTTACCAACGAGTCCTTAAACCAGTGTGGACATATTATTATTATATTACTAAGGAACATCTGCATCGTGAGCTACAAGTGCGGACAGTCAAAGAAGAAATAGCGATAGCAGCCAGGAGACATGAAGAAACTGCTAGATAGATAGGAGCATAGTGAGGAGGCTGAAAAGGACTAAACCGTTTGAGCTTGTGAACATTAACGTGAAATGAATCGTGAAAAGCAGAGTATCGTTCGGGTTAGCCACAACAGTTCTGTTCTGATCCACTGTTCTGATGGTCAGATGACATCAGAACAGTGGAAGCGTTCAAGCAAACCACCTCTGAAGATGCAAGCCACTTGTGCTTGCGAAACGTCAGGAAGAAATTCGAGTGTACGACGGCCTAAAAACCCGAAAAACCCACTGGTTTCAAGGAATGGCCCGGAAAGTGTATCACTTTTGATATTTTTAACATTGTGCGCAGGTATCACGGGTCATGTGCGCATCGACGACAACGGCGATCGAGACGCCGACTACTCGATCCTGGACCTGGACCCGATCACCGGCAAATTTGAGGCGAGTTTACCTCGGATATTTGCCCACCACTAACCCCAAAATCCCCATAGGTGGTGGGCCATTACAACGGGTTGAACAAGCGGTATGCGCATGTGGCGGGCAAGCGCATCCATTGGCCGGGAGGACGCGAAGGACCGCCCCCGGACGTTCCAAAGTGCGGCTTTCTGGACGACAATCCCGAGTGCAGGGACCGAGGTGGGGTACGACTCTTAAACCAATCGAATCGCTTTTAACTCGTTTGATCAATCCAGAGGCTTACATGATAGTGATTTATGGATCGTTTGCTTTGGCGGCTTTTCTGGCGTTTACCTCCACATTGATCTGCGTTGCTTATAAGTGAGTAGATGAATGTTGTTTGCTTTGTTACTCCGGCTCAGTGTGTCACTGAGTTTTCATGTCTTCCTTCACCTTCCACACCCTACTTTTCGTGTTTTTCTCGGTTCTTCTTCTTAGCGTGCYTTATCCRTCGCGSACGTTGGCTATCAGCATGGCAATTTTAATTTTATTGACGGCATTTCTAAATAGCTRTATAGATGTAAGTCCAAACCACTGGCGTAGATTTTGCAGCCATGAGTGTCTTCTCCTTCCTGCTCCTCTTTTACTGTTGRTCCTTCCTTGAGCTATTAACTGGAGTAGACGATATTTTTGATGTCTCATTATGTGTCCGAGGTGTTCCAGTTTCCTCTTTTTAACTGTGAGTGTAATTTCTCTCTTTCCCAATTCGCTGCAGCACCTCTTTATTAGTTATGTGGTCAGTCCACGAGATTCTGAGGATGCGGCGGTATATCCACATTTCAAAGACGTTTAATTTTTTCATTATGGCTTCCGTCGTTGTCCATGCTTCTGCTCCGTAGAGCAGAATTGGGAACAAATATCATTTTGCCAACCTTATTTTTAGAGGCACGGATAGATCCTTGCTTGTGAATACACCTTTCATGTTGTTGAACGATGCTCGAGCTCTTTCAATCCTTGATCGGATCTCGGTAGTACTTGTATGAGTCCACACGTTCGATCGTCTGGTCGTTTAGTGTAATGCGCTCATTGTGTGTCTGATCTTTGCTCACCACCATCCACTTTGTTTTTGATATATTTAG